CTTTTACTCTGTGTAGAAAAAGAGACGAAGCAAAAAGAACCGAAGTTAAGTCCGGAAATTGGTGGGAAGTTGATAACTTTGGCCGGTTTGGATAAAGCAGACAGGGATTATCGCAAGCTATTAATAGACTCGAAACTTGAAGCGGCTGGTCTGTCACTGGGAGTTACCACATCGAAATTTGACCCCGGTAAGAGAATTTTAGCCAGTAAAGATGTTGTCGAATTTTTCGTGTATATAGAGCAGCTGTTTGTAACTTCATTTATCCCTTGTCGGTATGCAGTGTATTATCCTCTCCTCGGTTTTCTGGGCTACAACTCTGTCAAGGAAGCCAAGGAGTTTAGGCGTAAATTTCCGAACAGAGACCTTCAATCCAAAGTTGGTAAGAGCCGTGATTTGAGATTAAACGACGCTATGAGGAGGGATCTTGTTCGCGCGTTGGTGAAGAAGACAGCTGGTCAAAAAAATGCTGGGAAGAAGTCGACCGAGGTGGGGTCGAGTGCCACTTCGGCTGCCGTGCCTGAAAGCCCGAAGTCTGTGCCAGACGTGACGACTACCGAAGTATTGTCGGTAGTGGAGGCTGTGGCGATTAACCAAGCAGATCCGGAACCGATCATAACAGGGACCGAAATGATTACTGTCGAGGTTGCTCATACCGAAGTGCCACCAGCTTCTCCGAAGTCGCTTGAGTTGGAGCAACCAGAGAAGAGGAAGAAGAGGAAATTGGTGAAGATGGCGGACGTCGGTGCTTCGTCCGGAGTAGAGAAGGGGTCTAAGAAAAAGCACGACTCCGGTCGTAAAGCAACTGAGAAAGGTACGGATGATTCTCCCTTGTTTGAGAAGTCTTTTCTATCGATTGATGAAGAACGGGCTGCAAGAGTTAAGGTGCCTGAGGGTGTTGTGGAGGATTGGTTTACTACTTTTCTGTCGGTGAAGTCACCACATATGTCATCGAGAATCGAAATGCCGGAGAATGCAAGAGATGCTGCTCGGGTTCCGTTGATGGTTTGGGACCCCAAATCCGAAGTGGGGGTCTCCTCTTTATCCATTATTGACAAGCTGAGCTACGCTAAGGCATGCGTTGGCAGGGCCTTGGTTAGTTTAGTGGCAGCCGAGGATGATCATCGCCGGGTCGCATCTCAATTGGAAGGGAAAAAGGACGTTTTAGCCGCGCGCGACATGGTGATCGTTCAGTTGAAGGAAGAATCGGCTAAAATGGAGGCCGACTTAAAGGGCCAAATTTCTGAGGAGGTGGCTGAGTTGGAGAAGGCAAAAGCTGAGACTGCGACATTGTCAGATGAGAAGAAGGCCTATGAGGCCGAAGTGGCAGATCTCAAGGCACGCCTGGCCGTGGTGGAGCAGCACTTCAAAACTTCCGAGGCCAAACTGATGGAAACCGAGAAGGCCTTGTTGGAGGAAAAGGCTAATCATGAGGCAGCTCGCAAAGAATGCGTTGAGACCCGCGAACTGGTAGGTCGGCAAAGGGACGCTCATCAGGCCGAGTTGGCCAAACTTGAGAAGGAGAAGTCATCCTACGGGGAGTTCATGTATGAGAACGGCTTTTAGGCCGGGAAGGATTCGGTTGTCGCTGAACCGAAGTCTGGGGACGATGCCGAGATGGAAGTTGCCGAGGCCGGTGAAGATGATGAAGCCGGCGGTCCTGACCTCGAGATTGAGATGAACACATGCCTGAATCTTCGATGGATTATCGAGCGTTATGATGCCGGCTACTACGATATCGATGACATTCGCTTGTTCCTTTTCCATAAATTGGAGAAGTATGGTTTTGACTCGGAGATAAAAGGAATGCATGTGGCGGCTGATGAGGACGAACGAGAATTTTGCGTATGGATGCTCCGCCGTTCAGAAGAGATGAATGCAAATCCAGACTTGCCGCCACTCTCCGAGGATAGGGCCGCTCTCCTCCGACGTGCTTATGTCAACATGATCTTGGAGGAGGAGAAGGAAAAAAGGAAGGAGCTAGCCGACGTGTACCTCTCAACATTGGCCGAGGTGGAGGTGGAGCAGCATTTTGACGACATGACTCCCGAGCAGATTCAGAGCCGAGTCAAAGCTTATATTGAAGAGAAGACGAGGTCGGCTGATAAGGAGGTGGAGATTGTAAAAGTAGCTACACCGGCTGGAGATGATGCGGAGAAATTAGCTGACCCTCGCGACGATTTCATTCCGGTGCCGGACGGGGCTATTGAAGCTGCTGCCAAGATGAAGGAATCACAGGTCTTAGAGCGATTGTCTTCCGGGACTGAAATTGGAGAAGGCAGTGGCACCGGGGAGAATGTGGAGAAGCCAACCGACGAAGTCTGAAACTGATTTCTTTTGTTTTGTCTTTATTGTTTTCTTTTATTTGCTTATTTTCATAAGGTAATCGGGGTGCCGGCATGTCGGCATCCTTAGTAGGAAATATTTGAAGTATGATATGTAACCGGGGATATAGGATAGCCGAATCCCTTAGTAGGAGATATGTAAGGGATTTCCCAAACTTCTCAGAATATATTTATATATGAAGTGTTTGCATATGCTTGATTTTGATTGTATGTTTTGCTGTGCAAATTTCAGCGATTTTTCGACCAAGTGTTCTGAATTCGGTTTTCATTAGAAAATGAACTGCTTCAACTCGGAATTACTTAAATCATGATCCGAGTTGTAAGATTTTGTAAAAATAACTTCCGAATTCCACTTTGATCTTTTATAAGAATCTCAGCCACAAGTGTGAGTCGATATGCGAGTTTTCAAATAACTTCGCAGAACTCAACACATTTTTAGGGCTGTACGGGAACTAAACTGAGTCACCGGACTTCGTCATAGTCCGATTATGGAATGGCCCCAACCGACTTATATGTTATGTATTCGGTAATATTCGGGGCCCGTCAAATCACGTATGTTGAAATGACGTTTGACGAGCATCACCCCCATCCGAGAAGAAATGGTACTCGGACATATTATGGGGTATCAGCTAAACCGAGTGTCGCAATGCTTACATCGGCATAATATATTTAACCGAGTTTCAAAAGGTTTACATCGGTATCGAGTTTGGTGCTCGACCTTTCAAACTACGCAAACTGATAGGCTATTCAGTACATCAAAAGAGGCGATTTCATGCATTCACCGAGGCAAAAGAAGGTCCGTACAAGAGGGGGGTCGACTATGCGACTTCGGATCCTTCACTGATAGAATTTTTTCAAGAACACTGCATTCCAAGGATATTGATGTGGTGTTCCATCGGGATGAGCAATGCGGTAGGCCCCATGAGGTAGGATTTTAATGATCTGAAAAGGTCCTTCCCACCGTTGTCTGAGTGGTCCGGGGTCAGGCCCCATTATACGCTTGAGGACCAAATCTCCAACTCGGAACGAACGGGGTTTGAGTTTAGAGTTGATATATCTTTCATTTCTTTGTTTGTACGCAGCATTCTTGAGTTCGGACCGAGTACGGTGCTCTTCAAGCAGGTCCAGACTTGCTTTCATGTTTTCCGAGTTGGCTTCTTCGGTGAAATGCTGAACTCGGTAGGTCGGCTCTCCGAGCTCCACTGGAACTACGGCTTCGGAACCGTAAGTTAGGGAAAATGGGGTCTCGCCGGTAGACGTCCGAGTGGTTGTTCGGTAAGCCCACAGGACATGTGGCAATTCCTCGGGCCAAGCTCCTTTGGCGGCGTCAAGTCGGACTTTGAGACCATTCTTTATGAGTTTGTTTACGGCTTCAACCTGACCGTTGGACTGCGGGTGGTAAGGCGATGAGAAGAAGTGCTTGATGTTATATTCTTCACACAGGGATTCAAGTCGTTTGCCTTCAAATTGT